ATGCAGGGCTGTTCCTATAATGAGGCAGCCTGAGGCGGTTGCCTCAGAGGGCATCTCATTGGGTCATGTTGGGGGGGGCAGCAGGTGTGGCAACCATGTGCGCCATCCCCAACATTCCCCCCAGCCTCAGGCGACGAAAAGTATAGGGATGCCCCTATGTGCACGCATGATCTGGCCGCTGAACAATTGTTAATATGAATGAACATTGTACAAACATCCAAGTTCCCCTTAAACAGGGTTGAATTTTTGCACCTGATTGATTCTTACACTGAACAGGTCCAGCCATTCCCTAATGCAGCTGCATACTGGTTGCCCAGAGGATTCCTGGCCTGGTGCTGTTGTTTGAATTGCTGTAGGCAGCTCCTTAAAAGTCTATGGAACCATCTACTTGAATCAAAATAATCGACTGGAAAGCTCCTGTTAGCAAGTGAACTGGGTGGTGATTTTTAGCACCAGAGACAGAGGTCAGGGTAACTTGCACTACAATTACCTTCCTAAAGGCTGCTTAAAATGTATCTAAAGTCGAAACTTGTCTTTTAGATTTGTGTAGAGTAGATAGTTATTCTTAGGCTGGGTTCACACCTAGGCGTATCGAATATGCGAGTTTGTCGCGCGTTTCATGTCCCAAAGAAGCTCCTGCACTTCTTTGGGCGTAGGCCGTTTTGTAGCGCGTTCATACGGCCTGTAATACGTCCAGGTGTGAACCATACCCATAGGAAATAATGGGATTTTGGTGTTTGAGCGTTTTGCAGAGCGTAGGAACGCGCTACAAAACGCCCAGGTGTGAACCGGGCCTTATTGCTGCCTGTGTGTCATTGGGCAGATTTGCCACCTGTTTCTGTCTCAATGACAATGGTCACAAGGACAAATGGAAAGGCAAAATATCCCCAGTAGTCACACAGACAGCAATAACAACATTTGCAAACTCCATCCAATACTAATAGAAAAAGATTTGGCTTTAGATATACAGTATTTTAACGGGAAAAGTGTACTTTAGAAAAAAAAAAATATATATATCT